ATGCCACCCAGCCCCCTATTTCTGAGCAACATACGCCCCTTCTTCTCACAGGACTTTCAAACCTTCCCCACACTTCTCAGACACTCAACTCCTTCCTCCCACACCCAGCAAGGGACCTCGAAGTTTATTTTATAGAGAATCCAGAAACCATCAGACTCATTTGTCAACTACCAAGTGTTTAAATTTACCTATAGGCTGCACCCTCTCCTGCTGACACAGCATTTCTAAAATGCAGTTTAATTGAGGGGGTCTTGACCAGCATTTTTAAGTGCAATTAACAGAACAGAAAGTAGTATATATTGCACACAGAGTATTTACTGTTTCTTAAAGATTCTGTTTCAGTCATGATACGTCTGTTACTAGGAGTTCAAGTAAAAAAGTTTGTGTATGCTAGAAAACTTGGGTAATAAAGTCAACAATGCTGCAATAGAGCAGCTGTCCCTGCTCCTATCCACCATTAATCCCTACACCTGTGTTTTGTGTCCCAACCCCTCCAGCCTTTTCAGGACCTTTATATCTTGGACCCAAGTTTTCTTTCTCTCTAAAAGCCAGAAACACCACACCTGCACAGGGTTCCTAAATAAACTCCACAAAACAGAAAAAAGCCCTATTCTTTGCTGTCTAACCATACCCAAGACTGTTTTATGGTGCTTAAATGCCTTCACTACTTGGTTGTGGATTTTCTGTGGCATATCAACATATAAGCATTCACTGTATGACACTAGAAGATCAAATAAATATGACAAGTACTTAAAATCTAACAAACCCAGTGTAGAGATGTAGCCAGCCTCCTCCTATCCCCCAATTACTGCTGCTTCCCCTTCAGTCAAGTTTCTCTTAAGAGCCATCTGTGTTTGTCACTAGCTCAGTACCTAACTCCTGTCCTTGCACTTTGCCCCACGGCAGTCCTCTGACAACTCTCCATAGAGTCACCCAGGGACTCCAGGGACCCACACAGCTGGAAGACACTTTTCAATGCTACTCTCCTCCTTCTTAATTTCTACTCATCGTTCCAGCCTCAGCTCAGCTCAGCTCCCAGGGAAGCCCTCACTGACCTCCCCAGCAAGGTCAGAACTCCCACTACCGGTGCTCGCTGTTCCTCTTTTCTTTGTAAGTTGCCACTGTTATAATTTCACATGTTTGTGTGATTATGTGCCCAGATTAGGCCTCCTTGAGGAGGAAAGGAACCATGTCTGTCTTTGGACACCTTGGAAGTCTGCGGGCCTCCCTGACTCAGTGTCAGGCAGAGTTAAGTGCTCAATAAACTGGTGTTAGCTAAACTGGGCCAGCTTGTACTAGGCATGAGGTTTACAGTGATAAAAGGAGTTCTGGAAAGTGAAGGGTGTTGAGGGAGAGGAGAGCCTGGGGAAAGGTGGAAAGAGAGGGCTGCTCCTGTCCTGCTTCCCAGATCAATCTGGAGCCTTTTCAAGAACAGCACATGCCTTCACACAGGTCCATCCTCCACTGATTTGTGTCAGAAAAGTCAGCAGCTAAGGTAGGAAAATTTGCCTAACACTTGATACTTGGCATGTACAGCTCTTTCATGGAGGCTTTATATCCACTATATATTCAATGCTTGCTGAAAGATGGACAAGTGCCATCTCCTTGTGGCATTGAGCCACTAGAAAGCAGGGCCTGGATCTGTTTTATTTGCCTAAATGTGGCTGGCACTTCCCACCTGCACAGGGTCCCTATTAAACTCCACAGAACAGCAAAAAGCTCTATTCTTTGCTGTCTAACCATACCCAAGACTGTTTTCAGTGCTTAGATGCTTTCACTACTTGGTAATGGATTTTCTGTGACATATCAATATATAAACATTCACTGTATGACACTAAAAGATCAAATATGACAAGTACTTAAAACCTAACAAACACCGTATGGAGATGGAGCCAGCAAAATCTACTTGATCAGGTGCTTTTTCAACAAAGCAACTGAGAGACAGAGAGGAAGTGTTTAAAAATGATTGATTTAAGGGATATACCAGCTAGACACATTGTATGGAACTTGCTTGGATCCTTATTCAAATAAAATAACTTTTAAAAAGGGAAAATTTTAGGATAATCAAAGAAATATGAACACAGATTGGAAATCTGATATTAAGATTTTTTTTAATCCTTTTATGGAATGTAATGATGGCATTGTGGTTGTTTTAAAAGGGCAGTCCTAATCTTTGAGGTACATATTGAAATATTTATAGATTTAAGATCTGAAATACTTTGGGATTTGCTGTAAAATAATCAGGGTGGGGTGGGGTGGAAAAGTGGCTAGGGTTTCAGAAGAAACAAGACTGTCAGTCGGTAATTGCTGCAGTTAGGTGATGGGTATAGGGAACACTCTTTTGTCTCTACTTACTATGTTTGAAATTTCCAAAATGTTAAAAACTACATCTGACAAATAAAGAACCAAAAAGCACCTAAATTTTTGTGAGATGATTTTTAAAGTCTGTAATACCTTAGAATTCTTTCACTTTCCAAGATGTCTAAAAAGAAAGCAGCACAAACCTTTTAAGGTATCTTTGAAAGTAGGATTCAGAACTCATGGGCTGCTTGCCTTTTGCCACGTTTCTGTTGTAATTTATCACTCTATTTCATTCCAGGGGAACAGGCGCTTACCTCTGAGGAGCTGTGATCCATTTCAAGGATGCACACTGAATCTACTGTCCTCAAATGTGAGAAAGACACATGCCAGAGGTGTCCCAGCTGTCCTACTGCTTTCCAACTCAGAAATGTAGCTTTATATCCGTGTATTGACCAACTAACTACTTTGGCTTGCAGTTGTGCTAGGGGCTGTAAAGAACTGTCAAGCCAATGCCTCACAAAGACCATACTACTGAACCCCATCTATTCCCATTCGGGCCTCACACTGGTCTCTGAAACACACTGGGTCAACAGGGTAACTGATCCATTTTTTACCTTTACTGCTTCTTCCTCATAAAATTTTGATCTGGCCAACCTAAAATATTTAGATATTCTGAAGTCTACTACAGTCTGTGTTAAAACTTGTTGCTCAGAGATTAAGTTCTTGGAAGGGTCTCATGACATTCAGTCCCACTTCTGATACAAACACGAACCACCACCCACAAATTCACTGTTAAGGCTCATCCAAAATGTTGGCTCACCTCAGCTGCCACTCCTAAGTCCAATAAACCTTGTTTGGCTACAAACTTTCTTGAGTAGGACAGATTCAGTTGCTGAAAACCTTAAGGGAAGCAGGGCAGGGTTTTTTTTTTCCTACCAAAATAAATCTCTTAACCCTGCTTGGTTAAATCAGCTCTTCATAAAATAAAGCTGCTTTTGCATTCTTCCATGTGACATAGCAAAATAACCAGCTACATTTCACTGCAGCCTCAGAACCATACGTCACAAAAACCAGAGCCTCATCCATTGTGCCCACGAAACAAAGCAAACGAAAACGAAGGATACAAACCCAAGCACAGGAATTTTTCAGCATCCCCGCTTCCATCGGGTGCACGTACACACATAAACACACAAGATTACCCCCGACCCCAGCCCGACCCCGCGCGAAATTTGCCAAACGGTGTGACCGTGCTGATTTTCCGCAGAGAAGTAACGGAATTTATGTGTTTTGTTTCTGTCTTTTGTTATAAATGATAAGGAAAAGAGGAGAGTGGGACGTGAAAAGCTGGAGGTGAGTCTTAATTCTCTCGTTTCCTCCCACCTTTCTCTGCATCAAAGTGCAGGCGTATCAGTGCAATTTCAAATGACAGCTTCTTGGGCAGTTAAATACCCTAACTAAAAGCGACGGAGGCTGGGAACGGGGTGGAGATAGGGTGACACCTAAGACTGGTAGGGCGGGCCGGGCCGGACAGGCTCCCGGCACCCCGCCCGGCCGCAACGGGCGCGCGAGGTGGCCGCATGCCGGCCGCCAGCGGCGTCCGGGTTCTCGCTCGGCCCGCTGCCCAGGGTTTGGCTAGTGACTGAGCTGTCTGGGCTGCCCACTCACACCTCCGGCTGGTCCCGACTCTAGGCTAGGCTCGTTCACTTCCGGTGACAAATCCCTCCCATCACCTCTAAAAATAATGTAGCATCTCCCCCGCGGTTTTCTGACCACCTACGGCCCCACAGAGAGCCGCAGAGCCCGGGGGCTGGGGTCTCACCCGGGCGCGGCCGGCGGAACCCAGCTGCGACGGGACGTGGAGCGGGGGGAAGGGCGTGGGAGGAAGAGGGAGGGGGTGTGGAGTCTCACCCTCCCCTCCCCTCCCCCCGCCCACCCCTCCGACTGCAGCAATTGGCCAAAAAAAAAAAATAATAATCCGCTTTTAGACACTCGCAGAGCCCCCGGAACCCGGCTGCAGTGAGGAGCGCAGCCTCTCCCATCCCAGTGCCCCTCGCCTGCTCCCACCCCCGTAGCTGCCCGCCGGGATCCAAGAGCCCCAGGCCACGCCAAACTGCAGAGGCGGCGGGGGCGGGGAGCGCGAAGGATAAGGGTTTGGGGCGGCGGAATGCGTGGGGAGAAAGGATGGTGCAAGGGAAAAGAAAACACCAGAGGCCTGCGAGCGGCTCCCTAGCCAGCTGTTCCAGCTGCCGCTTCCTCCGCGGGCCGGGCGGTGCAATATTCCCCCCTTCCATCTTCCTCACCACTACCTGTCCCCCACCCGCCGCACGCACACATCCCCGCCACCAGTAGGATCTCCGGCCTGTAAGGGGGTAGTAGGGAGGAGCTGGGGGGAGGGGGAGGCCTGCGAGTTTCTAACCTTGTTCTTATAAACAAACCCACATGTGCAGCTGCCGCTGCTTCAACTCACCCCACAATCCCGGATATAAATCCTGCCCCTTTAAGAGGAAAAAAAGCTTCCCCCGCCTGCCTCCCACCCTACCCATCCACAAGGACCTTTGTCTCCCCACCCAACCTTGTCAGTCGGCCCCGCCCCCTGTCTCCGCCCCCTCCGACGAGGAGGAACCAATGGGTGAAGAAAATAAGGCTGGGGTCTGACGTCAGCAAGCCCGTCCAATTGCGGGACGCATTGGTGGGAGGCCTGAGGGAGGGCGCGCCTGGAGAAAGGCAGGAGGAAGGAAGCTTGAAGTCAAAATGGAGACTGCGGGTTCCTCCGCTGCAGCCGTAGGGAACGGGGACATGGGGTCCCAGCGGGCCCTGAGCCTGGTGCCTGAGCGGCTTCAGAGACGAGAACAAGAGCGGCAACTGGAGATGGAAAGGCGGAAGCAAAAGCGGCAGAATCAGGAGGTAGAGGAGGAGAAGAGCGACTTTTTCGTCGCCGCTTTCGCTCGGGAACGAGCGGCGGTGGAAGAACTTCTGGAGGACGGGGAGTCCGTCGAGCAGCTGGAGAAAGCGGCCGCTAGGCTCCAGGGCCTGCAGAAACTTATCAACGATTCGGTTATGTTCCTGGCCTCCTACGACCTGCGTCAGGGACAAGAGGCGCTGGCGCGGCTGCAGGCGGCCCTGGCCCAGCGGCGCCAGGAGCTGCAGCCCAAGAAGCGTTTCGTGTTTAAGACCCGGAGAAAGGACGCTGTTTCCGTATCCAAAGTAGACACGGCTCCTGACGCCCGGGCGGTGGAAGACATCCTGGCGGCCCCTCCTCCGCCCTTGCAAGAGAAGGGAGGCTCCGGCTCCACCTGGGTCTTCGGCTTTTCCGGCCTGGAGTCCCAAACCTTGGAGAAGAGAGCAGAGGAGCTGCACCAACGCGACGTCCTGTTGACCGAACTGAGCAACTGCACAGTGAAACTGTATGGCAATCCCAATACCCTGCGTCTGACCAAGGCCCGAAACTGCACGGTGCTCTGCGGCCCGGTGTCCACTTCTGTGTTCCTGGAGGACTGCAGTGACTGCGCGCTGGCCGTGGCCTGCCAGCAACTCCGCGTACACACCACAAGAGACACCCGCATCTTCCTGCAGGTGACTAGCAGGGCCATCGTGGAGGACTGCAATGGGATCCAGTTCGCCCCTTACACCTGGAGCTACCCGGGGATCGACAAGGACTTCGAGGCCTCTGGGTTAGATAGGAGCAAAAGTAACTGGAACAAGGTTGATGATTTCAACTGGCTGGCTCGGGATGTGGCCTCCCCAAACTGGAGTATTCTTCCTGAAGACGAGCGAATGATCCAGTGGGACTAAGCAGTTGTCACTCTGTTCTTCACTCTTACCAGACACTTCCCACTGTGGGACTGACTCCAACTAATGGGACTCCATAATTTACTTACTGTGGTTACACTACTGTTTTCGGTAAATCTTGAGATTGTGATAGGCTCTTGTAATTTCCATTAAATTCACTACAGGTCTAGCACTTAAAAGTATTTTTGCTGTTTTGATAATGTGTAGTTTTATTTGATAGTTTGAAACAATAGGATGAGAAGGGTGTAGTTGTGGGTTGTTTTTAATGATTTCTGGTGTTTTTTTATAACTTAACTGCATGATTAAGTAGGCCTCCATATTTAATAGACGAATTCAGTAGGGCTCTAGTAGGAGCCAGTTAATGTGGAAGTATGGTACCTGTGCAAAGTACCATTAATTGATAGCTTTTTTAAGTTGAAGGTTTGGCTTCCATTGGTAGTTCTCAGCAGGGCTCTGGAAAGACTCCCCCCCTAGTCTTCAGCTACATTAGCTTAGGTTTCTGAAATCCAGCTACATGTGCATTGACTCCAGAAGGCTCCTGAATCTTATCAACTGTAAAGCCCACATAATTACAGCTAATTACGGAATAATTACGGTTCCACATACCTAACTCATGTAAACTTAAATTCTCAAATTCTTAAGGTGCTCACAATCTTATGTTAGCACCACTTATCAAATGATGAAGTGGGTAAATAAGTTGCCCAAGCTCACACAGCTCAAATTGTGGACTAGAAACCAGGTAGTCTGGCTCCAGGGCCCACCTTCTAAAGCGCTGTAAGATACTGATTTTGAATGATGTTAGTTGAGTTGGAAAGAAAGCTTTCTAAATCATTTAAGAGGGCAAACTGCTTTTCTTAAATCCTCAGGCATAATTATGCTGTATGTCATACAAGAAAAACTGAGGCAAACATCTAGTTGAGTCTTAATTTTTCCACTCATTTTGCTATAATTCTCCACTGTTATAAACGTGGTTTTCTTCCATTACCATCCATTATTCTTAAATGGAGAGTTAAGAGTTTCAAAGAGCTTTTTTGGGTCTTGTGTCCCTATGACTACAAAGGACCATGTAGACATGCTTTTAATTTAATAATTGCCACAAGGATTAAGGTCCTTTTTATGTTTTTATATTTATATGTTTAGTATTTTTATGTTCTGTCTTGTTGCAGGAAAGGATTTAAGGTGGCTTTTAGGATATGTGAGCTACAACAAGATAACAAATGAGAAGTAGGAACAGTGGTAGAGTCACAAATTGGGGGCGGAGGCCAATAAAAAAAGTGTAGGCTGTCAAGCTGTATTCCATAATTGGAGGAGAATCCAGAATTTGTTTTCCTGAACTATTAGCTGACTTGAAAAAGGATCCTAATCACTGCCACAATTTGCAACATCCACAAAGAAGAGAAAAAAATACCAATTGCTTAGGAGAGTTAATCCTGATAATAACAAAGAGACAAAGTAATGAAAGTCTCAACCTTATCTTCACATTGGAAACTGAGCAGAAGCCTAAGGCTGTTTGTTCCCCTAGAGGCTGCTGGTTTAACACCAAGTGCACTGCAGGAAAAACCATGCTTGTGGCACTAACGGACTTGCAATTCATATTTGTGACATCATTTTTATAGGAAAGTTTACATCTAAAAAAATCACTGCAGTTTTTATTTATGTATTCATTTATATTATCTATTTACTAATAGATAATAAAGCCACAGATCATGGCAGTTTGAACCATAGTTTATGCTTGCTAATCTCAGGTGAGCTTTTCGTCACTGTTCAGCAAGCCCTGTCCTGCCTTCCTGAAAGGCTTGCTCCACATTACTTAGGCCAACAACCCCAGAACTTCTGCTTTCTTAAAGCTCTTATTTTTACACCTGTAATTCTGCTGACCTCACCCCACTAACAGGTTAGAGGCCATCCAACTAGCACTTTAAATATCACTCAATATTGGAGAAATTGCACCTTCACTGGTGGTCATCCATGTATCTTCTCCCCATAGCTACCTCTTCCACTTGATCCCATCCCCCCCTACCTCTATGGATCTCGCTTCCTGTCCATTGGCTTTTTTTCCCTCTTTTTAAGACACCAGATCCTAGGATCCACCACCGTATATATTACTGATTGCAGCTCCTTCCCATGCTGTCAGCCATCTTAAAAGAGTAGCTGTGTCCACCTACATCTTCATCTACTCCCTTCTTTGTCTGTAATTTCACCTCTTCTCTCTGCTGAGACTGTTTTTGATGGTATCAGCCTAATCACCAAATCTAATCGCTGCTTCTGCTCCCTGATTCTTAACCTTTTTACTTTAGGTTCAGTTTACTAATTTATCCTTGTTCTCTCTTACCTTGGCCTCCACAGCTTTGCTCTACCCTGTTTCTCTTAGGACAGCTTCTTTCCCTTTGTTGGGGTTCTGGTGACTTCCAGCTCTTAAATATGAGTGATACCCAAAGTTTTGCCTTCAGCTTCTTTGTATTCTTTCTCTCCAGAGCCTCAGCTCTCAGCCTATGTTCAGTCTCATGTCTCCACATAGGCTCCACCTGCAGGGGGGCTTACCTGCCTGTCAAATTCTTAAAAATCTCCATTTTCACCTTTCCCTCCCAAGTTCCACATTTCTTCTAATGTTGCCTCTATTCTCCAGGGCCAAGCAGGTTAAGTCAGTGAGGAAGGCTGTGGGAGTAAGTCAATAGGGGACGGGGGACCAAGTGACTTGGCAGACAAATTAAAGCATTTGAAAACACTGTACAAGCCAAGCAAAATTATAGTCTGCGCCTGGTCCCTGAGCTGGCTGGTTTATAACATCAGACTTCCAAATTATGTCAGTTCTGTCCTCAGCAGGTCTCGCCTCTTCATATGTCCTCTCAAATCTTTCTGTCATTGCAGAAAGTTAGACTTTACTATATTTTCCCTAAACTTAAACTGCAATGTTTTTTTAACCAAACAAACCAAAACAGAGCAAAATGAAACAAACCTATATGAAAGTTACACCCTGAATTAAAACCATCGATGAAAGTCAGTTTAGTGTTTATTAAGCAAATCTAATGATAATGGTCATGACAATGAGGACATATTACTCTAAAGTGTAATGACCATATATTTTCATAAAAATCAACCCTGGAAAAGCAACAAAATTGCATGTTAGTCAAGCAATCAATTTATTAAGCTTCACTTATGATCAGCTACATTAAATAGTTTTTAGCACAGTATTATATGAGTATTATATCATCTTCCCAGAGTCTCAACCCCATAAGAGAGAAATGGCCAACTTACTTATAAATTCTGAAGTTTTGATTGCAATGCAAGTGTTAGTATTGCACAGAAAATTCGTTTTAATTGTATTAATCAAGCAGAAATGAACAAAATGGTAAAATGTAAAGAAAACTTCCTATGGTTAAACAGTGTTTTATAAACATGGCAATTACTCTAGTACCGCAGAAATTGAACTAGATGTCGTGTAATTCAAAATCTCAACACCAACTCAAAAACTTAGACACACTATTCTACTATTTTCTCCTCTTATGAAGAAAATAAGTAGACCATTATCATTAAGATAAAGGATCAATTATTTGCCCAGCTGTAGGTTTCAAGAAGGGCAAGGCACTATAACACAGAAATCCATGTTCCACTCAACTGAACAAATACAGGAGCTTCTTCCCTTCTTCCGTGTTCAGTTCCTGGGAGGTAAGAGTACGATGGTAAACAAGGTAAGCATGTGCTCTTCCTTTATGGAGGGTACAGTGTGGATGAAGATGAGATGAATGAAAGAATTATCATAGATTCTGAGAGCTCTAACAGTAGGGTAGTGCCTTATTACAACCTCTTCAACTTAGAAGGAACTTTAAATAAGGCAACTATATCAACCACCAACCCCGGGTTTGAATTCTCCAAATGACATCCCTGCCTACTACCTACTTGAATTGGCAGCAGTCACAGAAGGAAACAGTTACTATTCAAAGGCCTGTCTTCCAATTTTTCAGATACTGTACTTTGAACTTTAAGACCTGACAAGACCAAGCAAGACTGTTCAAGGCCATTTACTCACCTGGTAAACAAGCTAAACATTCTATTCAGGCATTCAAATACTTTATTATACAGATTTATGTTTTTTTTAGCTGAATACCTCTCGTGTTATTTCACCAACAAAACTATACATAATCTGAGTTTAAGAACTGATATCAAGGTAGAGATTGATTCTAAGATGACAGTGCAGTGGATTTTTTTAAATAGATAATTCATGTGCAGGTACAAAAGATTAGAATAAGAAGTAAATGTACTTCCTTTGATCTCAGCTTTTCTCTTCAGAGGGCAACCATCCTTTACCTGTTTCCTTTTTTCTTCTGGTCTCTGCATTTTCAAACTTGTGTGCAAAATATCCTTTTATCCTCCCACACAAATTGAAGCAAACATATATACTATTAGGCACCTTGTCTTTGCCATTAATGTTATACTTGGATATCCCCCCCATACAAGTACATGTAGTCATCTCCTTCTCTTATTATTCTGTCACATGGAATGTGCCATACTTATTTAACCAGTCTCTAATGGATGGGCATCTGGGTTGTTTTGATCTTTAGACATTAGAAAAATGCTATAATGAATAGCCTTATACATAAATCATTTAGTATATGTGCAATATTATCTACAGGCTAAGCACTTAGAAGAGGAATTTCTGGATCAACAGGTTACAAACATTGATAACATAATATTGACAGATATTGTCCGATTTCCTTCCAAAGAGGTTGATTAATTTACACACTCACTAGCAATGCCTGAGAGTGGACTATTTCTCGGCATCCTTATGTACAGACTGTGCTATCACATTTTGGATCTTTTGCCAATCTGTTAGTTACACGCTATCTTCTTATGATAAGACTATAATCATCTCCTAACTTGTCTTGCCATCTCTAATTTCTAAACCATTCTACATGCAGCTATCGATTAGTTTTATTAAATCATGTCACTCCTGGTCTAAAATCTTCTGAGGTTCCCATTCCTGCCGTACTTCCTGGGGTGGAAGACAAGCCCCTCCACCATCTGCTCTCAGCCTACTGTTCCTACATTATATTTTCCTGTTTCCTCACACATGCTTCATGCTCCAACTAGTCTGAACTAATACCCATTAATCAAACACACTGTATCAGTCAGGGACCTGGCAGGAAACAGATGGCACATACAAAATGGATAATTTGAGAAGAGA